TCCCTGCCTGCCTGCCTGCGCGTACCCCCTGTGGCCTTTCTAAGTACCCCTAGGGGTACGTGCACCCCCGGTTGACCACCCCTGTTTTAGACTGAGCATTGAGTCCCATTGGGTAGAGTGGTTTTCTTTAATCTTTACTAATTTATAGAGGAGACTCTGACCTATAATATAGTCCATGGCCTGTGACCTATTTATAAAACTTCTAAAAAGGTTACATGAATATATTGTCTCAGATAGTATGTATTAGAAGTTATAATCCCTATTCCATGATGATAGCTTAAATTAAAGCTATATAGGTTGGGTTTTTCCCCCAAAAAGTGTCTTAACAAAAATAATAAAATTAAATGAAAAAACATCTCATTTCAATCTGTAAAATCTGATTGTTTTCTTTTTTTTTAAATTGTTGATTATTATCCACCCTGGTTCTTGGTGATGGGCTATTTTGAAAAATCTTGCCTAATATTCATGCTTCAATACTAGGAAGGAGAGTAGACTTATACATTATATAAGGTATCATTGTGTAGCTTCTTTGTGGCCTGTGTATTAATCAAATACAAAAGCAGGAGTTAGGCCAGTTGTTCTCAGCTGGGATCCTTTGGGTTCTTTTTAGGGATGTTGTGGTGGCAGCGGCCAAGTAAAACTGCCTCACACTCCCCCCTGCCTTAGGTCTCTGTTCAGCAGGCAGCGAAGCTGCTTCATGCTATGCAGCTCTTTCTGGTCTGTCCTTCCCCATGCTCTTCTTGAAAAGAGGTGCAGGTGGAACTGTCCTGTCTCCTTCTGTTTCTGGGAGGAGTGTTGCAGGTGCTGGACTAGGAAGAGCTGCACAGCCCAAGGCAGCTTCTGCCTGTTTTAGGCTGATCCAGAGTCCTAATGCAGGAGAAGCACATGCGAATGGCGCAGCCCTCCCTGGGCTGGCTGTGCAGCCTAGTGCAGTTTCATCAAAGGTTCACAGTCCTTCCTGACTGCAGCAGCTGACTAAGACACACTTGGGTAACCAATAGTGGTTCTCAGGCAGGGGTGCTGCTACATTCAAAAAAGTGGTGGTAGGGTGCCTTGACCCTGAAAAGGTTGCAAATCAATTGGGCCAGGCAAATGAGATCAGGGTGAAGCTTTCATTGTTATCAAACATGCATTTTATTCATTCCTCTAATGTGGTGGTTTTGCTAAAAACATTAAAATGTATACAACAAAAATTCCTGACTACTAACAGAAGTTCCTGACTACTGTTAACTTGTCTAATTTGTCTTTGTTTCATTTCTTTTTAGGTCTAAATTATGCCTTCCTTTCTTAAAAAAGAGTAAAATAGCTCACATCCTTAACATCAGCCCCCCACTTAATCTGAATCCCATCTGGTTCAAAAATCACTGTGGTATGTAATGCTCCATTATTTTATTTTTAAGTTAACTAGCATTTATGAAAGATGTAGGAGTGGTGTGCCTGTGTGCCAAGCCCCTCATTCAGCTGCAGGTACAAATTGATCCGAGTCAGGGGTGGGCAAAATATGGCCTGTAGGCTGGATCTGGTCCAACCAAGGATTTTTTAGCCCATGGCAGGTCCCTCAGACCTGCCCATCTCACATGCAGAGGGCAGCCCAGGCTCTGGTGCATGCAGTTGGTCCTGCTGCCCGTGGGGCTGGGGCAGCGTGATGTCCGGACTTGCTTCTCAGCAGCCACCGCAGCAGCAGTTCCCCTGCCCTCCAGTTCTGCATGGCCCCTCCCACAGAACTGGTGCCCGCCACAGGGGTGTGCAAGGAGCAGATTGCAGCTCTGCATTGGTCCCCAGACCCGTGATATCACAGGCCTGCAATCCTGACCCCAGCCCTGACCCTGCCCTTCTGTGCCGCTCCCCAATGCTGCTTCCCACCCATAACCCCATCCCATCCACCCTCCAGTCCAAATAATTGCCCACCCCTGGTTTGAGTCATCCAGGCTTTTCCACGCTTCCTGAAAGTGTGTCTCATAGTGGTCCAGGAAAGGATTATATTTGTTGGGGGGGAGGAAAAAGGAGAGAATAATTATTGAGACCCTAACATAATTGGTGTAACAAACTGGGTAACTCCAGAAGCTCTAAGCATCAGCCTGCAAACAGCTGATGGGGTTCCCCAGCTGGAGGAGTGTCCCTGGCCACACATTCACTTAATCTGTCCATTTTGATTTTAACTTCCTTTTTCAAAGTATTGTTTCAAATTTGTGTACTAGCAAAGGTAAACAAAAACATTGATATTAGATGTTTTGACATTTGGATATATTTTAGTTTCAAAACTCTGAACCTGTCCCCCCCATTTGTGAGATTAAATCTTTCATTCTTTCCCTTGAAACTGAAACTCTTTTCATTAATTGACTTTTTCTGATTAAGAAAGTTTGTTTCATAAAATTATGTGAATGCAGTAGATCGTAGCAGCGGCTGTTTTTCAGAGAAAGATGAGCAAGATAAAACTGACCCATGATTTCTTTTATAAGAATAAGGAAGCACCATTTTCTAGTTATCTGGGCTGGTATCAGGTAACAAATCCTAAAAGTATGGAACAATTTGACAGGTCTGTCATTTGTGCCATTCAAAACTTTTCATGCCAAAGAATTGTAAAACTATTTTTTTTTAATGTACAATGACACTGAAATTTCGGTCAAAAGTTTGAGTTTGCAAGTTTGTAGGTGAAATAATAAATGGCAAACCATAAGATTAGTTAATAAAAAGTTCAATGCAAACCTTTTTCTTCATCAGATCTTGCCTCATGTAGGCTGTTCTCTCTTGAGAAACTTCTTTTAAATCAATTCTCCTCTCCTTGGTATAGTATAACTAATGAAATTTGTATCTCAACACAGACATTGAATTCATACCTTACTTAACAAAATTCTGCTGGATTTTCTTGTTTAGCTTACACTATTTCTAAGTATGGTATGTCCATGTGTGTCCTGGGGATGGCGGAAGAATTCAGAGGAGAAGTTGCAGTCAATGCTTTATGGCCTAAAACAGGTAATTTTATTTTTAAGATGCTAAAAGTCTGTCTTTCCATCTCTTTTTCTCTTTAAACCTCCAATTTGCATGTTTTTTGACTGGGACTAGGCTTTAGGTTTGAAAATGGATTAAAATCAGGAGACTAGCTATTTTATTCTCCCTCCCATGTTCTGTGTGCTTTTTTTTCTTTTCTTTTTTTCTTTTTTTTTTCCCCATAAAAAGGGTCCGTTGTCTGGGTCCCCTGCCTTTCTGAATTCTCAAGTGATAGGCCAGTGAGGCCTGGACTGAGTGGCTGGTTGCATAGACTATTAACAGTGAATGCCTGTGTGATTACCAGAATGTATCCTCCAGTTCATTCATATCTCTCATTTGACTGAAGACACTTGTATACTGATCAGCTTACTGACCCTTTCTTAATGTTTTACTTAAACTTTTCTTTTTCCTTACTTTGTTGCCTCTGTCTGTGGATAACATCACAGAAGTATTAATGGGCCAGATCAGGTCTGCAGAGGGATTGCAAAGGTCTGATCTGGGCCGTATTGCTTATCCCCAGCTGTTTGATCTGGTCTGTGTTTTGTTAATAGCATGTCAGTCACCTCTAGCTGCTGCATCTCAGTTCCTCTGGTCTTCATAGAGGGCTGCTCTTCCTCAGTGTGTCATCTGCTCACCATCACTGGAGCAGCCGGGGGCGAATGATGACCCATGGTACTAGCTGGGTCACAAGGTGTGGCCTGCATTAGTGAAAGGTTACCAACCTCTGATTATATGATATAACTACTTCTAAATTGCCCCTAGGGCCTTATGGCTCAGGGCAAGCAAAACTTGGGGAGCATCCTGCAAGTAGGATGCCCGCCAAAAGTTTTGGAAACATCTGAAGCTCCAGATGGGGATGGAGGACATTTGCCAGTAGTAGGGCCTCTTATGTTTCTGGACTCTTGGATTTGGAATTTGTTTTGGCTAGTTTGGCCTGGAATACATAAAATTAATAATAATTAAAAAAAAAAAAAAAAAAAAAA